ATGCAAGTTTGCTGGAGAAAATATTATATATATGATGAGTTAAAATCATATTCTTTCTACGACATGAGATTGATGATATATCATTTATTCATTGTTTTATTGTTGGGTTATTATTAGTTAATGTGAAGCTAACATTACCCAAATAGCCAAACATAATGCGAAACAATATACCTTAGAAGAAGTGGGGGCGACCATTACTTTCTCTTCGAAGCTGTACCAAAAAGCTATAGGTTAATCCCTAGCTAGAGAGAGAGAGAGAGAGAGAGAGGGAGAGAGCAGAAACAACGAGAAGACGTGAGAGCAGAAACAACAAGAAAACGTGAGAGAGGGAGAGAGCGACGACATAGAACCCTAAGAGAGAGGGAGAGGGAAGAAGAGAGAGAGAAAGGAGAGGCAAATACTAGCAATAGAGAGGAGAGAGTCAGAGAGGGAGGCGGAGAACAGAAATAGTGAGAAGAGAGAGGGATAGAGTGACGGCACAGAAACAAAACTCTAAGAGAGAGAGAGGGAAGGGGGGAGAGAGACAGAGAGAGTGACAGAGTGACGCAGAAAAAAAAGACGGGAGAGCAACGCAAAAAAGAGAGACAGATGTGTCATTTTAAGAGCGACGCAAAAAAGAGCGACGCAGAAAAGCGCATGGGCAGTTGGCTCCTGTAGAACGTTCAACTTTCATCAGCTTTGTGAGACTCCAACGATGGACCATTTTAGGGACCGCTGAGGTGTCATTTTATTGTCACTCCACGTGTTTGAATCTTACAGTTCACAAGCAAAGTTCCTTTTTTACCTAGTTTCTATTTGTCCCCATATATTTTTTAGCCAACAGATTGTTTTTTTGGGTTTTTAAACTAACAATTAAAATAAAAATAGAATTTTCTTGGAAATTTTGTCTCAAAAGCAGCATTAAACTTATTAGTTTTAGGGAAAAAAATTAAACTACTCTTTATTTATGATAACGAGACTATGATTAGTACAATTTGGGTTCTTAAAAAAATATGCTTTCAACATTATTCAAAAAGCCCCTAACTTTTATATTCTTTGTTATTAGTTTATTAGCAGTACAACTGAGAAAATATAGTTTTATCC